CCTCCAAAACCAAGACACAAACTGAGAGCCCCTATCAGACACAATATTGTGAGGAATGACATGCAGTTGGACAATCTCACGTATAAAGATAAGAACCAGGTCTTGAGAGGATGGCAATTTTTTAAGTGGAATAAAATGAGCCCTCTTGGGGAAACGGTCAACCACCATAAGAATGGTGGTATAGCCATTGGAACTTGGAAGTTCAATGATGAAGTCCATTGACAAGTGGGACACTAGGTACAGGAAGTGGTTGCAACAAACCACAAGGAAGCTTATGAGGGACCTTAGAAACAGCACAAACTGAACAAGCCTGCACATAGTCCTTCACATCATTTTTAAGGGAATCTCACCAAAATGATCTCGTGATCGCAGATATGGATTTATTGATACCTGGGTGTCCAGCAGTCACATTGTTGTGGAACACCCTCAGCACATTCTTTCTTTCACCTAATGGAACAAGCAATTTGTCCAGTGGTTTATTGCATGGTACCTGAGACTAAGCCTCCATTATAGCACCAAGCAAGGGAGAAGACAGTGAAAGAACAGTAGAACGATGATACAGTCAGGAGGCACGATAGGGGATGTCTCGTGTTCCTGTAAAGACTCAGTATCAAACTGTCTAGACAAGGCATCAGCCTTCACAATTTTGGGACCAGGTCTGTAAGTTATAAGGAAATTAAAGTGAGACAGAAACAAAGACCATCTAGCCTGTCTAGAAGATAGACGTTTAGCATCCCCTATATAAGCCAAATTCTTATGGTCCGTAATGATCAAAAGGGGATCCTTGGAACCTTCCAAAAGATGTCGCCACTTTTTAAGCGCTAGGACAATGGCCAACAATTCTCTGTTGCCAATATCATAATTGCGCTCAGCGGGAGACAACTTTCTGGAAAAGTTTCCACAAGGATGCAAAGGGGTGTCCTGACTCTCCCTTTGAGAAAGAATCGCCCCTATCCCAGTTTCGGAGGCATCAACTTTCAATTTGAAGGGTTTGCTGGTGTCAGGGTGTCTCAGTATGTCAGCAGAAGCAAACCTTTGTTTAAGAAGTTCAAAAGCCTCTCTAGCTTCCTTAGACCATACCGTACTACTAGCCCCCTTACGTGTCATATTGGTGATGGGGGCTATTACAGAAGAAATCCTGAAAAAAAAATCTTCTGTAATAGTTTGCAAACCCAATAAATCGTTGGATGGCTTTTAGTCCGCTAGATACTGGCCACTGTATAACAGCCTCTAGTTTCTTAGGATCCATCTGAAAACCAGAGGCAGAAATGTTATACCCCCAAAAACTGTACTTCAGTCTGATCAAACAAGCATTTTTCCAATTTACAATAAAGTTTGTTTTCCAGTAAATTCTACAATACTTGTTTGACCTGTTTGTGGTGGGTTTGAAGGTGAGGGGAATAAATAAGGATATCATCCAAATAAACCAGGAAAAAATAATAGATATAATCCCTGAGTACATCATTAATAAAATCCTGGAATACGGCCGGTGCATTGCATAGCCCAAAAGGCATAACAAGGTACTCATAGTGCCCGCATCTAGTGTTAAATGCCGTTTTCCACTCATGATTTTCCCTGATTCTTACCAAATTGTATGCACTCCTGAGATCCAGTTTGGTAAAGATCTTAGCACCCTGGAGTCTATTAAACAATTCAGAAATGAGAGGAATAGGATAGGCATTCTTAACAGTAATCTTATTTAATGCTCTGTAGTCAATGCATGGACCTAATTCTCCATCTTTCTTTTCTACAAAAAAAGAAGCCTGCACCAGCAGGTGAGGATGATTTCCGAATATGGCCCTTGTTTAGTTAGTCTTTGATAAATTCTTCCATTATTTTACTCTCCTGTGGCGATAAGGCATATACTGCCCCTTTAGGTGGCATAGCGCTGGGTAACAGATTTATGGAGCAGTCATATGACCTGTGAGAAGGTAAGATATTGGACTGACTCTTACTAAATACTTCCTTAACCTCCCAGTATTGTATGGGAACTTCGGGGATTTGAGGTGTAGTAGTGGGTAATTTAATGGTACCCACTCTCTTGGTGAGGTGTAACATACACTTCAATGAAAATGAAATAAAAATTTCCCTAGATCCTTAGCCAACCCTCAGAATGGACATAGAATCAGGGAAATAGGTCAGGATGGTGGTACCAGTTCCACCTAGTATGGGCTTAAACCCGGATAATGTGAATGCAAGAAATAAACTAAAATCGGGTAGTACCCCTTTAAGGAGTACTTCCAATTAACTGGTATCAATATAACGGACACACCAAAAACAAAACGAATGTACCTATAAGCTTGTATAGAGAGGATAAAAACAGGGGTTAGCAAATATCAAAGCAAAGCACACTGAATATGAAATAGGCAACAAAGTATCGTGGCAAGACTAATGTTGCAATTGAACTTTATTGACCGTTTGCCAAAAATGATACAGTTGCCTCAGTGCACTTTAAAAATAGGGCTACTAATCCCTGTACAATTATAGGAGACTGCTTCGAGGCGATTGAACGGCAATGTTTATTTGTTCTTGATATTGGAACGATACAGCAGCCGAAACAAATGATATAGCCCTATTCGAGCAGTCGTCCCAGTAATGGAGGTGTAATATATGGGAGAGAAAAGTAATGTTACCTCCCTTATGAACACCTATGATAAATGAGCAGGTAGATAGAGGGAATGGTAGGGAACATAAACGAAATTCTCCCTTAGCATATGTAAGCAATTCAGTGTACTAGCCCATAAGCTGTGAAATATCTGTCTGAGTACTGTACTGCTAAAGGCACTGCTATTCTGATTCCCTACAGACTCCTTGTAACACCTTCATGGGTGTTCTATGCTAAGGCTAGCACTAGGAGGAGTATCCCTATCTACATGCTACCTGCTCAAAATACCAGTTTATTGGAAGTACTCCTTAAAGGGGTACTACCTGATTTTAGTTTATTTGTTTATTTCTGCTTGAAACACTGCACATACAGACATATTTTCCCCTTTGTGTCTGGGGCTAGTTACACTCCTGGCACACGTGACTTAGGCAGCTTAAAACTCTGTTCCAGGCTGCCTAATGTCAATTTTGTGCAAGATTTACGTCTGTTGTAAACCTGCACAACGCTCTGTTGACAGATGTAATTAGATAGCTTTTCCCTTACAGGCAGCTCCTGCAAGGGGAAGCATCTGTCTCCCCCACCTTCCGTTCTTTTTTACAGTTAAGCCCTCCTGCTTCCTTACGACCTGCAATATTTTTTTTTGTATTCTCACCCTCCATCTCCACGCCATCCCTCAGAGTGCCCACATGCTCTCTGAGCCGGTTAAACACTCCAATTATATGTTCAGCTGTCATGACGTCAGACAGAGGTGTGGAAGCCGCCCTGGTAGCTCTGACTGGCGCTGGATTTAGGTAAGTTACTGAGGGGGCAGATCTAAAGAATAATGCCCAGAACTTTTTTTTTTCAATTCGTATTTTATTTTATCGAAAAATTCCGGGGTAGGGTAGGGTACAGAAAGGAAGAAGGGAGGGGAAGGGGGGAGAACTTTTTTTTTTAAAGGTTTGGAGTAACCCTTTAAAGAATAGCTGATTTAGAGAATTATTCCAATTTGGTTATTTTGATCTTAAATTTGAAATTAATTTTAAATTCTCACTTGTAACTGTAACTCGATATACAAAACTGGGACAGTGCAAAAATGAAACAATTTATCAAAATGTTACCTACAGGAATTCTTGAGCACAGGGAGCTTTAGGAAGGAAGGCAGTTTAGAATTCACTTATATAGTAAAAACAAAAAGGGAATTGGGGGCACTCCAGGAACATGCATTTTACAGGAATGGTGCTGCTGTAGAGATCAAAATTTATACATAATACAGATTAAGTTACTGCGCACACATTAAAAAACAGTTTAAAATTTTATATGGCTACTTAAAATCATCTATCTCAGCAAACAGATATGAGGATTCAGTTCCAGCACTCTGCTAGATTGTGTTAAGCCCACCATTACTTCACAGTACCTCAATGTCGGCGGGTCCTACACTAATTCCAACGTGTAAGACAAATTTAAATAGTGCTAAATAGGCTAAAGTGTATTTTAATAATCTGTTGTAAGAGCATCATTCTTAATATATATAATGCAAAACTAATGTGATAAAAAAACCACAATGCAAAAAAAATGCAATGTCAAAACTAAACAATTAAAGTGATAGTGCTTTGATGTATAGGCTCACAATGCATATATCTCTTCTATACCAAATGTAGGATTCACTTATAGTCTGTAATGTCCCTTTAAATAATAACTCTATATTCTTTGTTACCCCATCTATTTCCTATGCTTCTTTTTAGTGCATTTTCTATATAATAAATGTCAATTCCAGGCTGGAGTTTCTCATAATAAATGTGTAAGCTCAATTCTGAAATCCTAGGATAGCCATACATAGAAACATAGAATGTGACGGCAGATAAGAACCATTCGGCCCATCTAGTCTGCCCAATTTTCTAAATACTTTCATTAGTCCCTGGCCTTATCTTATAGTTAGGATAGCCTTATGCCTATCCCACGCATGCTTAAACTCCTTTACTGTGTTAACCTCTACCACTTCAGCTGGAAGGCTATTCCATGCATCCACTACCTCTCAGTAAAGTAATACTTCCTGATATTATTTTTAAACCTTTGTCCCTCTAATTTAAGACTATGTCCTCTTGTTGTGGTAGTTTTTCTTCTTTTAAATATAGTCTCCTCCTTTACTGTGTTGATTCCCTTTATGTATTTAAATGTTTCTATCATAAAACTTGTACTTTTTACTTCCAGACATAAAACTACAACTCCCATGAACGTCCGCAATCCACAGCTTAGCGCTCAACTGGACGAGGATCATGGGAGTTGTAGTTCAGCACGTCTAATCCAAATCCCACACACTACACAGCAAGTGCATGAAGTAAAACTGCAGCGCACTTCTCACAGCGACCCCTTCAGGCCGGAGGATCGGACAGCAGGAAATCGCTACAAATTGTTACTTGGTTTACAGCTAGGCAACGGGGTTAGGAGGGGGATGACGTTTTGACACGCCCCCTTGTTGGGCAGCCAACCAATCGCAAAGCGCCCTGTTGGCTGTGCAGGTTCTCTCTCGGTCAGAGCGACGTCAGCGGCAGCCAAGATGGCGATGTCCATAGAGTGGAAGCACTTGTGTGCTGTGTTCATTTTGCCATTATGTAGCCTGGTGGCTGGTGACGGCCAGCTGAGTGCCCCGCACCGTAGGTTCGAGTATAAATACAGCTTTAAGGGACCCTACCTGGTGCAGAGTGACGGCTCGGTGCCCTTCTGGACTCACAGTGGCAGTAAGTAGCACTCAGTGCACATCCAGGAGTAAGTCATCCTATACCACAGTGATCAGTAACATGGCCCCTGCAGGGGAGTCTGGACAACTACAACTCCCTGGGTGCACAGCCAGGCTTGGGGATGGCTGAGCATTATGGGTAATGTAGTTCATAAACCATGCAGGGGGTGCCAAGAGTAGACATTGCTGGAACCCCCCTGTTCTTCTTGTAACATTGACTGGTATACTGTATCTGTACATTCACACACTTACCACAAAGATTAATTCACATTATGGGCTATTTCCAAAATCCTCTTGTCCTTTATTATATTATATGTATTTGTGTGTCTACCATATTTATCTATCTTTTCACAACCTATTTTGTAGTTAATGAGCCTTTTGATTCGTTAAAGAGTACTTTAAGGTAAAGATAAATGAGATTTATGAAAACTAGGATGATACAGACAAGGAAAGGAGAGGAGGGGGAGCTGAATTGATAAATAATAAAATCCCAAACTAACTAGACAGTTTCTCTCAGTATAGTGAAGTGTAAGTATAAATATGAGCTTGTCGTTTTGCAATGCAGTTCATCAAATTATGTAGTATAATCCAGTACCTTTTTTATGTTTATTCAGAAACTGGTTAACATGTTTTAGCAAAGAGCTGTATAGTCAACAAATACTAATTTGGATTTCCATTTCATTTTGTGGTTACTTTGCTAGTACTAATATTGGTGCTTGTGTCAAACTTTTTTTTTTTTTATATATATATATATATATTACATAGGACTCTCTCATGGTAGCTAGTGGAATCATAGTAGCCCCTCGTTTGGGCAAGAAACTTTGAAGTGGTCCTTTTACATCTATTTTTCAGATAGAGGACAAGAGTTGTCAGAATTCTGTTTAAAACACAGTGCAAACATGTAAAAGAGGCGGAGTCACCATTGGAATGTACCTGCAGGTTCTAACAGTTTCCATGGTAACTGCCCTGCTATCATTCTTTTCGTTTAGAACAGAATACTTTGAAAAACTTCCTCACTGAAATTATAACATAAATAACTACAGATATAGCAAAACTGCAGGGTTTTTTTTGCCATTAAACGTAAGGTGGCACAATTGATAGGGCATAAGTAAAGGCATCTGAATGCCAGTGCATATCATTGCACATGTACCAGATTTTGAGGATCTTTCTGGATCTTCAGTCATCTATATGATACACATTAAGAGTACAAAATTGACAAGGCTTATGGCATGCCATGAAAGAGACGAGATTGGCAGCACTGGGGTAAAAGAGCTTGAAGTGGGTGGATGGATGACTTCCTACCTTACGCCTTTCAACTGTCACTATCCAGCAGATATATTACTTGGGAGTATATTTAGATTTTTCCAAGTACCCAGATTTCTAGATTCCCTTTTTTTTTTAGTAAGTAAAGGAGGGAAAAAAAGATCTTAAAGGTGCACTGTAAACTTTAACTTTTCCATGAAAATGGAAAGCTAAACTCAAGATGCAGTAATTGCTCAGATCACCTTGCAAATACTTCTTCTCGTTGAGCCAAATTGGGAAGTTTGGATTTGTAAGAATGGGAGAGGTCTTGCAAAGGTTTCAGACAAGATCTGCATCTTGTGCAAGCTGTTTTTAGGTATACCCCAATGGGAAAAAAATGCAGAATAAATGCATGTGTGTTTTAATTGGGGTTATATCTACTAAACAGTGATTTTGTTTTCTTCAATTGGCAATAAACCTTGTAATTTTGGAAGGCGGGGTGGGGGGCTCTTTTATAAGGTGGGAATTTGTAATACATTTTTCCAGCATAACTACTTTTGGCTTTTAGTTGGTTATGGTTGAGCACCATAAGAAATGCAATAAACAAATATCTGGGGTGTCAAAATTCGTCAGTAGAAATAAGCCACCAAACTCTGTCATCTCTTTCCTTTTGTCAATGTTTCAACAAATAGACTATTACTCTGTATAAATCAAAATGAAACTAATTCACTAGAATACCCTGCCAGTTATGATATAGCGTTATAGTACGTCATTCTTTCTAATCTTGTTTTTAATTGTTAGATTAAAAAAATCTTGTTTCGTTTTTTCATATAGTCGTGTTGTTCTTCTATTGGCTGTAGAGTGATGTGCAGTTTTGTTTGACTGTGGGATTTTATTGACCTCCAGCAGATTATATTGACACGTAGTCATTTAGTTACCTTTCCTGATAAATGATAAGACTACTGTTAGGCTGATGTGTCCGTTTTTAGTGCAGCTGTGATCTGTAATATCGCTAATGCCTCTAACACATTTTTGTCGTGTATTGTGAAAGTGAGAATGGAACGGTTATAACTTTGCTGTAAATTTTCTATGAACACACACAGATCAGTGCAGCCTTAAATTCTGTTCCCCCACCTCATACATTTTGTAAGATTTTTTTTTTAAATTTATTTTTTATTAATACATTTTTCAAGATGAGAGCTTTTTATCATTTTAGCATATTTAGTGATTTTGTTCAGTTATCTCTGATTTAGTACCCACTTTATCAGATGCACCTGCTGTTTAAAGCAGAAGTAATGTGAGGGAATGAGGAACTGCAACTTACAAAGAAGTCACAGTTTCAGTTTAACACAAATAGTACAGTTAAAAGACCTTTCCAAGCACCATAACCACTACAGTTCACTGAAGTGGTTATGGTACCAGGAGTGACCTTGCCCTATTTGACAGTCAGTGGTCAAACCACTTTAACAACTTATCTGGGTCCCACAGGGCCCCTGCAGCTGTCCTGCTGTGAAATGTGTGGGTTTAAACCAGATGCTTACTTTATAACCTCTGCCTGCAGACGCTTCCACACACCATGATGACCTGGTCTGTACCATGGTCCACAACCCCCAACATGCCGTACAAAATAAGTTTTCATCCATATATTTGCAAGCAGTTAGGTTAGCACAATGTATAGGTGAACTGTTATACTGCCTACAATTACCAAATGATGTTACACATAACAAGTGCACTGTTAGAGAGTACAAGTTATTTTCCAAACTTTGTTTGTGAACATTGCAGTAAGAGACTTGGTAGGATTAGCAGTGGTATGCACAAATAAAGCAAGTACACAACAGTTAGGAAGTGTAACATATTGCATATAAAACTAATGCCATTTTTCATTTAAAACTAAACCTCTCAATACGTTGCTTTTGTCCAACATTGAACAGCACAGTACATCTTCCTTTTAGTCATCCTGCTATGTGGCTCCTGCAATTTAGTCATGTGAAACATCTTGTCATCATACTAATCTCGGTCAATTATATGGCATTTTATGCTGGAGTATAATTACTTCAAGTAAGCAGTGAATCAATGCCAATACAAACAGCAGATATATCACATAAATGTTTGGGCATGTTTATTTAAACATTGTGTTTTTAGTTGTGATGCTACATGTGATTTCATAAGGGTGATATCTTTACATTGGGAAATAATTTCTCTGTAGAACACCTGATTTCTTTGCTTCTTAAATAGACTAACAAGGAACTCTTCTTTTTAATCAGAATCTTGTATTTGTGTGAATTTTGTGTACATCTCCAGTGTCTGTAAATCTTTCAGGATAATACCCACACATTCCATCCAGTTATCCTATCATAAAACAAAGTATAGACTATTTTGTCGTATGTATTTTTCTAATGCTTGACAAAAGGTGGAGCTACCATTGGTAAAGCTTATTAAAAGGGGTAAAAGCTGTCCCTGTGGACGGTCTTTCATAGACATTAGTGTTCTCCTCTTGCGCAAGCACCAGTAGCTGAGGAAGACTTTGAACAAAATCGTGGTGCCCATGAATGGCAGGTTAAGGTAAGTAAAACTACCTTTCTCTACTCCATGGCCACCAGAATACAAGCTGAGCAGTCTCCATATGGGGTTTTTGCTAAATATGCAAAGATCACAGAAGTTGAAAGAGCTGTTTTGAACTCTAAAATATAGTGAATTAAAGCGAAATGGCAAAATTCAAGTTTAAATATAGCTTAAGCTGCGACTATAGCTGTGATAGAGAATTGTTCCAGAGCAGCTATTTTACATTGTTTTGCTATTCAGTTTTTTTCTAAAATCCAGTGCTTTGTCCCCATTACCTGGTTCTCACACAGGATTTTTAATTAAATTTAGAATTTTATAAAAATGATCACATTTGGTAAAATTGAGGCTAAAATAGCTGTAGTGGAAAAGCTGTTGTCTCTAACTCGGCTATAGTCATAGCGTGGCTATTTAAAAACGTTTAATTACTCAAACCTGTTTAAAACTATAATGTTCTCTGTATTTATATTTATGATCCTCCACCCCTCGCAATCTAATTTTATTTTTTTAAAAGGGGCATTACTCCAGGTTGAAGTGGTCTGGATGCCTCTAGTGTCTCTTTAAGCCTGTTTTGCAATTCAGATTTTATTTGCTAATATTTGTGAGTAACCCTGACAGTGTGGTGCTTCCATGATGCTAATGATAGAAATATCCAAGTATATCCGCTGTCAGTTCAGAAAGGAATGTCCAGCTGCTTATCATAGGAGAGCATCACCATTACATCCCTTCATAGTGGTTATGGTGCTAGTAGGGTGCCATTACCTAGTTCTGGGTAAAAACATTTTTTACCAAAAAGGAGGTCCTAAGGCCCATCTTCTGCTTGCTTTATTGCTAATATGGAAGCTTCTTTTGTGCTGATTTAAATATAGACACAAACTCAGATTTCATAACTAACGGACAAAACTTCTCATACAAAAAGGTCATCTGTTTGGAGAGAGAGCATACTCTACTTTGTCCATTTCATAGACAAACTGGGTGAGTTATTTGGTTATGTCCTGTAACAATCTATTCCTAACCAGATACTCTTGTATAATAAGTTAAACATTAGGAATATAAATCATGACACATCTTCTACAATAGTACAGTTTCTTTTAACATGAATGTGACTGTAATGTTAATGAAACACAAGCATGATCAATGAGGACAGTATCCCATGGGTTGTTCACGCTCTAGCATTGAATGCTTTGAGGCAATAAGTATTGTAATGTTCACCAACTTTACCGTCTCAGAGCTAGCAGTGATTTGAATATTACTTGTAAATATCTACGTTGTGACTCATTCCAGTAACAGGAATTTTAATTAGACCTAACCGTCCTGTTCGGGCCTAGTTGCAGACAGGCTGTGATATACCTGCTTGAGAAAACGTTTTAAAAATAAGTGAGTAGGGTTCTGTACACACACGCCCCCTGCTTATATTCATTTTGGTGTATAGCATTTCTTTTTATGTATAGCCATACTTATTGAGAAATTTTGTTTTGTTCTAATTTTCTCCATTTAGATGCCATTCCTGGTGCTGATCAAATTAGGATAACACCGTCCTTAAAAAGCCAGAAAGGAGCCGTTTGGACAAAAACTGCACCAAGCTTTGAGAACTGGGAAGTGGAAGTAACATTCCGAGTAACAGGACGGGGTAGAATAGGAGCTGATGGATTGGTATACCATATCATACTTTTTTACTTGTTCTATCCCAGAGCAGCTGCTTTTCATTTTCCTGATCTGTGATCTCTGTATTGTTTTGCATACAGGCCATTTGGTACACGACACACCAAGGGTTGGAAGGAAATGTATATGGAGCTGCTGATTCCTGGAATGGCCTTGGTGTTTTCTTTGATTCCTTTGACAACGATGGAAAGGTTTGTTTGGTTTGCTCCTGCACTTTGATACTTATTTGTACCTTGGAACAACTCTGATTAAATGAGTTTGTTTGCTCTGCACTTGGTGTAGAAACTGTTGATACAATTTCAGTTTTCTGTGCATGTTTGTGCACTCACTAAATATATAGTCGTGCACAGGGGGCCTTTATTAGGATTCATTTATTTAACAATTCTTATATAAATCCCTTATCCACAGAGCTTTACTTAGAATAACAAATTATACCGTTATTGAAAATAACATTTTTAAAATAGTAATTGAGCAGCAATATTGTTGGATTAATTAACTGGTTTACTGAACATGGCAAATCAATGTCTTTCCATATGTTCTGCATCTTTGTTAATGGTACATATTCAATTCTCACAGCTTATTTTGAGGACAAGGATAAGTTAAACTGTATGCTGTGAAGAAGCACTCCGTTTATGCATAATCTCTCATTTGGTGGTAGTTTGAAATAAAATACAATTAAACAGCTTTAGTGTGATATTTCTAATGTCCTTGCATTTCCAGCAGATCATACTACAGAACATCTCAATCACTCAAGGTTGTGTTATTATATTTCCTTATCATTGGCTTTTAATAGTGAATATTACATTCTTTGCAGGGACATGGCTAGACATGTTTAAGATGTGTATGTTAAAGGTGTACTTCCATGGTAATATATATTATACTTCCAATTATTGTCAAATGCTTTTAGAACAAAATAGATGTCAGATTTCATGTATAACATCTGATATTTGTCACATATTACTTGTGTCTGAATTTTTACTTAAATGTGATGTTAAAGTTCCATTTACATTGCTGTGAAAGTTATTTAATCATCCATACCTACTCAATTATGCATCTATCTGTGTAGGCCTCACTCTTTTCAGAATTGGCTCAAGGGTAATTCCATGTCAAATACACAAAATAGTTCTTTCTGCCACTCTTTGTAAAGAAAACCGAAATAGTTTAATTTAAAAAAACAAAACTCATGTGATATAAGCAGGTTTTGTTGCAAGAATGGCATAAAAATGTATTCTCGGGGCCTTTTTGATTGTCCATAACTTATTTTCTGTAAGAGCTATACAGCACCCCATGGTGTCTTTGGAAAGATCATTAATTGTTTGTGCTTGACACAAATAACTTGTTGAGTCTATGAAATGCTATGGATGTGTAACTCTAGCTAAACAGACCACTGTTCTCTACAATTTTAAGCCTTTAAAGTTAGTTCTGATGGACTCCCTTTATATCCCTTTACGGCAACCAACAGCACTTAAATACCTAGGGATTAAAATCCCCAAAACATCTCCCTCCTTTACAAATGGGAACATCCTTCTCATACTCGTATCTATTTAAAAATAAAAAATGGAGCCATTTCAAAAATTACATCTCTCATACATATAAATAATCTATATAAATCAAGTAGCTTCCCAAAGCTGCTGTACTCCTATCCCTCCTTTCCAAAAAAAAAAAAAAATGCCTTCTGAACAAGAAAATTAAGACATTTCTTTAGCAAGGGTCGAGAGCTCCACTTAGTTTGACTAAACTTAATAATAAGACCAATGAGGGGACTTAACCCTTCAAACGTTAAGGAATATAGCTTGGCAGCTCAACTCCAGCACATACAAAGCAAAGATTTTTTGATCTGCCCTTGGAGTCCTTTCTGGTGCTGCCTGACTTCCTCCATAGGCCACATAATTTTGTTTCAGATGGTCCTCTCAAATACTCTGGAAGCTGTCCTTCTGAGGGCTTGGAGATGATCTTATTAACATAAGGTGTGAATACAGTTCTTTTGTGTACTTCAGCAGCCAAAAATGTCTCCCCCCTTCAGAGAATTGGGAGCGTTTCCCAGGCCTTCCATTAACATGGTTTGCATACTTCTAGGTATGACATTATTTCCAAACATCAAAACAACACCTTATGCCTGTTGACTGGGATAACCCCCTGTACACTCTTATGTACCTCTAATAAAGCTTTTTACTTAATCTTAAACTTAAACAAAGTCTTAGGGTACAAACCAGATTGGACCACGACCCAAACAAGCTTGGGGAAGTGGAAGTCACATTTTACTGATATAAATACAAAGTACCTCCCTATTGCACACTACACCCAGAGTCAACTATTTCCCACGGTCTCCTATTGAGTCATGTTCCTAAACAATGCACATTGCGCCTATTATTCCCCTCCCTGCCTCCATCTAATGGCTAGAAGGGATTCAGCGACTTGTTTCAAATGCGCACATACAAATGCAGACCTATATCACTACCTATGTGAGTGTACCCTGATAAAGTCCTTTTGAAGGGAACTAAACAGTACCTAGAAACTCATAACATGCCCTCTTTCCCATGTTTCTCTTATTTGGGCTGCTCCCAGGTATTCCTATACCTCACAAATGATTCTTAAAGGGACTCCATGGTCACTAAGATAACATAAGCTTAATGAAGCAGTTTTAGTGTATAGATCTATAGATCATGCCCCTGCAGTTTCAGTGCTCAATTCTCTGCCGTTTAGGAGTTAAATCACTTTTATTTCTGTTAATGCAGCCATAGCCACACCTCTTCTGGCTGTGACTGACTGACACAGCTTGCATGAAAACAAAATTGGTTTAATTTTCAATCAGATTAAAAAATGTATATCGCCTGCTCCGTAAATTGAACTTTAATTAGATACAGGAGGCTCCTGCAGGCTCTAGCAAGCTGTTTACAGCGCTGGAGGTAAGAAATTACAATTTAAACAGAATTTGCAATAAAGGAAGTGTAAACATTAGATGACTCTTTACAGGAAGTGTTTAGAAAGGCTGTGTAAGTCAGGGATGTGTGTCTAGGGCTGCATAAACAAAGCGGTCTAAGTCCTAAATTGAGCAGTTTGACTGGAGGGGCATGATCTATACACCAATACTTCTTCATTAAGTTAAATTTGTTTTGGTGACTACAGTGTCTCTTTAACTATAATAGCGGCAGTGGGACATAAGACTATACTTCAGGAATGGAATCATCTGTGTGCACCACCTTTGCACTTATTTTTAACCAAACTCTGTTGGTGAACATGGATTGGCTGAGCAATTTAACTAATAAAGAAACCCTAGGCAAAAAATTCTTCCAGACATTGAACTCTTAAATCCTTACTCTGGGCAGTACTTTCCAGTCTAGAATTAAGGCAACCCTGGAGTACACATAGCAGTGATCACGGGTTGTGACCCTTTACAAAATATATAGGAGTCACAGCCATTGAGCAATGTGGCATATTTGTATGGCGGCAAGGAAAGAGTTAAATTGCCTTGTAGTCATGGATACACAGAATCCAAGGAAGTTTTATAATATTTGCTGTTGGGAATCTGGGGAGAAGTGATGACTCTGCTGTTGCTGGAGCTGGCCTGGGATTAGGTGAAGGTGCAGGAAGCTGGAAAAAGAAGAAATAAATGCAGCCGTGCTAGTGCAATACTGTCCACGGTTACTGAGGCAGCAGGAGCCCCAAGATTGAGACATGCCCATCACACAAGGTTATCCCAAACCCCACGATTAAAACATGCCTATTACACAAGAGCTCATGGCTCCTCCAAACCTTTCTAGTCACAATGCAAATGCTTTTCTTCCTCGAGGGGAGCAACGGAATGGAATGCGTAGTTGGCTGGATCGAGAGGTGATTCATTGTTCTATGATTAGAATCCCTTCTTTGAAATTGTTCAACATTCGGAATATAAAAAAAAAAATCACAAACATTGCGCACCAGGATTTTTCCTAACTTTTCATACTGATAATTGCTTATTGATTATCAGTGAATCTGAAAATCTGACATTCTAAATAAAAGCACATTTCCAAGGGATACAAAAGTTATACTTGGAGTATATTGTAGTTTGAATGAACATTTATTATTCTTAAGTAATGCTGTCGAGACAAATTGTTACTTTCTGGCTAGTTTCTGCACCGATGTTGATGTTCGCCCTGTAGTCATCATGAGCTCCAATGTTGAGAGTTGGATGTGCTCTTATTTCTGTTCTGGTGGACCTAAAATTTAAAATTCACATTGAATTCCAATTTAAACATTTTGTTTACAAATCCTAGAGGAAGCTGATAAAATGTTTTTTGTGGTAGTGCTTCGTTACTTAGAGGTGTAACCAATTGTGTGATTATGTGTTAAAATCATTTAATGTTTTAAACATGCTTGAACAGTCACCTTGTAAACTAGATAATTGTTTTGCATAAGAAGACAGAATTTGATGTGGTTATTTTTCTTTGTAGAAAAACAATCCTACAATCTTGATTGTGGGCAACAATGGGAAACTTCTTTATGATCATCAAAAGTAAGTGTTTGCTCTGGCTATTCATGTAAAATTTATAGTTGATATCTATTGCATTATAAGATGTAATATTTTGTACTTTCAGGAAAAGTAAAATTCATTAACCACTTAAAAGCATAATTTAGTAATAGAATGACATGCCAGGTGTAGGTGAAAGGAAAACTTCTACCACAAGAATCATTACCGTCCAGCTGTGGTGGTTTTGGTGCCAGTCCCTTGGCACCTTTCCAGGGTAATCTCTCAAACCATACTTAGATCAGTCCACCTTCTTCTTCAAATTGCATTGATCCCACACTTGAGGTCTCCTCCTCTTGCAAGGAGACTGCTGAAACAAGCAGAACCCAGGTAAATGGTCAATCACTTTTAAAATGGTTTTATAAATCATTCTGGCACTCTTGGCACCATAACCACTACAGTGTTTTTTTTTACATTGTGTGTTTTTTCTAAAGCTGGTACAGTATTGTTCAAGATGTTTGTATACAGGGTAAATTGCCTGATTAACATTACTTCTTTTAGTACTCTGGGATCTTCCTGTATTTACATAATACAATCTAGAAATCCCCTGGGAAATTGGAAAGGTTGTTCATGTTGTAATTTCAAGGTTGAGCCAATGCCTTTCTGTTGTCCTTATTTATTTAACTCAGATGTGTAAAACTGCGGTCCCCCCAATATTTTGTATTTTATTATAATATTGCCATAGTCTGGCATAGAAGATGTAATCTGACACCATCCCTGTTTTAAAAAGGCACTGTAAGCAATATAACCTCTACAGGCTGTTGTACAGCTTGTATTGCTAAAAGTCTACTGGCACCTTCTCCCAGTTTTAACGCTTAACTGTTTAGGAACATGTGATAAACCTGGCTTCCTTCTGGCACCCAGACGCAATCCCCCCTTAGCCGCCTTGATAATGATATATTAAAAAACGGAATTGTTAACATTTTGCTAAGAACCTGTCTCTATGATGTCTGTTCTCTCAATTTGAAATAGCAAGGCATCAGTTTAAAAATAATGTATTTATTTTTAGTTAGGGAGACATTTAAATATAGGTTTGTTTGCTTGGCTGTTTTTGCTGATAATTGTGGAGTTTCACATTTTTATCTTTTTCTTTTTAGTGATGGCGCCTCGCAAGCACTTTCATATTGTCAGAGAGATTTCCGTAACAAGCCATACCCAGTTCGAGCAAAGATTACATACTATCAAAAGACCTTAACAGTAAGTAATGTTAGTCATATGACACCATTCTGTTTAATATGATGGCATTACTAACCAATGCATAGTTAAGATGTTTTTTTTTCACTAAACCTTAGACTTCCAGCTTCTGTAGACTACATCTGCCTGAGAATCATAGTCTGCTTAAGTTGTAGTTTGAAAGATTTGGAATCACAATGTGTTAAACAAACACCCATTGACACATCCTTTTGAAAATTGTCTGATACCTATCAATGAAATGGACATTAGGGGGTAATGTTAAACCTTTAGCAGGGTATCTACATCTGTAATTTTCTGGATTTGTATGCAAAATACACCATCCATGGTTTATAGGGCAAGGTTTTTTTTTTTACATTTAAATAGCCCACTTAATGTAGCTTTTTAGTTTTAACATATAAGTATTTTTTTTTTTTCTTCATATATCACAAGTAGTGATGTCCCGAACGGTTCGCCACAGACTCATCATTGAGTAAACTTTGACCCTGTACCTCACAGTCAGCAGACACATTCCAGCCAATCAGCAGCAGACCCTCCCTCCCACCTCCTGGACAGCTCACTAAGAATGCAGCTTCACAATGAATGTAAAATGGATGCTGTCCAGGAGGTGGGAGGGTCTGGGAGGGAGGGTCTGCTGCTGATTGGCTGGAATGTGTCTGCTGACTGTGAGGTACAGGGTCAAAGTTTACTCAATGATGAGTCTCGGCGAACCGTTCGAGACATCACTAATCACAAGCTTTCGGGTGTATGTATGTGTGTGTGTGTGTGTGTATGTATGTGTGTGTATATATATATATATATATATATATATATATATGTGTATATATGTATATGTTGTGGTTTTTTTTTCTGTATATTGAGTACAAAGATGTATTCTGTATTAATTTAATATTGGTCTTTTTTTCAAAGCCGGTCCTTTGAAAGTAAATGGTTTAAAGGGACACTATAGTACAACTACAACTTAATGTAGTTGTGATGTCTAAAGTCTGAACCTTGCAAGCTTTTTAATGTAAACACTACCTTTTCAAAGAATAGGAACACCTGTAGTGGACACTCCTCAGACGGCCACCAGAGGTGCTTCCTGGGTAAGTGTTGTACTGTATGCAGCACTGCTGTTCAGTGTGGAGATGCTCCCCACAAAGATGCATTGATTCAATGCATTTCTATGAGGAGATGCTGATTGGCTATGGTGATGTTTAGCCCTGTCCCTCCTTGGCTGAGATCATCAATCAAAAAGGCAGATCGGGGGCAAGGCCAGCACCGGTGGACACACAGCACTAGAAATAAGGTAAGTTTTCTTATTATTTAAGGGTGGCAAAGGTTGGGCCAGGGACCCTACATGTGTTTTTAACACTATAGGGTCAGGAATACAAACTGACCCTATAGTGTTCATTTAAGCCTGAGAAATATGATATGTCCATTTCATCCATGTGAACCTAGGTATAAATTTCGACAACAGATCGTTACACTTTTGGACTCCTGGTGTATTATCTATTCAGCTAATAAGAATTCTGTAAAGACTACTGTGACATGTATTTATTTATTTATTTATTTTTATTTTAGTATTGTTTTCGATTTGATTGTACTTTTTGATTAATTTGTTCTTCTTTACTTTACTTTTAGATCATGATAAACAATGGATTCACACCAGACAAAGATGACTATGAGTTTTGTGCCAAAGTAGACAACATGGTTCTTCCACCTCAAGGTTTTTTTGGCATTTCTGCTGCAACTGGAGGCCTGGCAGGTTATTGTCCTTTTTTGTGACTTGTAAATATACCATAATCTAACTCTAGTAGATCAAAGCACCGTGCTTACCATCAAAAAATTTAAAATTACATTTTAAGTGAAACTCTAAGAAATCTTCTGGTACTGTATTATATATTTTTATATATATTTTTTTTAACTAGGACACAAAACAAAAATTTTAGGTATCGCTATTGTTATAATTGTGATAATGCCTCAGGATGGCTTCTATAATATGTGAACATATTCTAATTACAAAAGTGTGAGGGCCTTTTACATATTTTTATTTATTTTTTAGTTTAAAATAAAATCTTATGCTTTAAAGCCTTTTTACACTACTGACTCTTGCTCTATTGAGTGGGAATTTTTACAGTGATTCAAGTGCTAGTGTGTGTTCACAAATCCTGATATCATATGCAAGCCTGTGAGTCTCAAAAACTGTTCTTGAACGGGTTGAGACTTTGGATTGTGCATGACCCTAGCAGCTAAGTTCTACATCAGACCAAAGAGGATTTAAAGATGGCTGTCCACACTGAGCAAGCGTAAGCCAGGAGCTTTACCTGAAAGTTATTAACTTTTATATATACACATTACAAAATAATGCAAAACAGTGCTAAATCACGTACAAACTTTTATTTTCAATTAAAGCAAAACATTACACTTCCTATTAACCCCTTAAGGACACATGACATGTGTGACATGTCATGATTCCTTTTTGGTCCTTAAGGGGTTAAAGAAATTCTTCATTGCCTGAAACAAAATGCTTTAAAAATTGCTATTTAGTAGATATACTCCCAATGAAAACATGCATTTATGTATATTTTTTTTTTTTTATTGGGAGTAAATTTAAAAACAGCTTGCAAAAGTTGCTGACCTATTCTCTGCAGCCTTTACAAGCCCTCCTCCTTTCCCCAAGCACAGAATGAAATACTTCAATCATTGAGAGATGTCTGTCCTGGAGCTTTGAGTATACACCTGATCACAGCTCATTAAGAAGGCGCGAAGGTATGCGCATGCTAGTACAGTAAGCCCGCCACTTCCATTTGCACGGTGAAGGTAATCGAAATGGAAGAAAACCTCCATGGCTTTCTGATTGACAGCTAGCAAGTTGTTTTTGTTTTGTTTTTGGGTTTTTTCTGCCCCCTATTATAAAAGTGCCAATTTCTATAGAAATCAGCACTTTTATGAAGTGTTACAAATGTGACAGTCTGAACACACATAAAGCACTTCAGGAAGTGCCTTATATGGGCCAAGTATTCCTCTAAACGTGGATTATAAGTTTAAAACAGACCTTACAGTGGAACTCTGATGCCAGTATCTTCTTCAGTGATCACTTGTGTGTGACATTCTGCTGTTTGTTATTGCTTTTGTTATTATCTATAAAGTTCAAGCATATTTCTCAGCACTGTACAACGGGTGGACAAGACAAAAGGCAGCGTTGCCAAATTAGGATGAAATTAAAAGGACGAGGTGGTTTACCTGTAGTAAGCGTAATGTTTCTTGATTTTATTCCAGATGATCATGATGTGTTATCTTTTTTGACTTTTCAATTGACTGAACCTGGAAAAGAAGCGGTAAGTTACTACCCACGTTGTTTTTTTGTTTGAGTATAACGGATCATGGTTCTTTGTGGTCTTATTGCTTGACAGCTTCATGTTAATGTTTTAAGGGCTATTCCAATAATCATAACACTACAGCCTGCCAGGAGAAACATGGCCAAGATCAATGGTAATGAGGCAAACTGTTTAGTGGCTCCCTGGTGGTGTGGTCTGACAAGCTTCTGGCTTCTGCAGAGTTGCGAAGTCACAGCCATCACCATTCATTGGCTGAGTGCATCAGCTGACTGTTCTCAGCCAATGACTGGCATTCTGTGTAATGAAAGATGCACAGATCTTCAGTTCCGACAGTATTATAGGGGCTAAACTACTAAAACACCGCACACACAGACTCCAGTCACCATGACCACTTTAAATCATTGCAATGCTGTTAAGGACCTAATTGTACATTTTGCTATCGTCACAATCTGACAATTTGGTCCATAGAACCCATGAAGAATTATTTCATTCTGTTTGGTAATAGGACTCTTAAAGAACAGGTTATTTTTGACTGTCTTTGTTCCTTAAGGGATTCATTAACCTACTGTTTTATGATTGTTGGTGAATAAAATTATCTTAAACTGTACTTAAAATAAACTGCCCCCCACACGCCATGTAAAAGATGATTTTACCTTCCTCTTGCATATGTATGTAAACCTTCCAGGGTGCTCTTTATTGTGAACATTTGAGGTACCTTTAATTACAGTGTATCTTTTTTGAGATGTAAGAGTGCAATAATCTGTATGACAAATTGTCAAAATGGTAGTAGGTATCTGTCATAGCTTTCTAGTTGAAGCTGTGAAGTTACAGATTTAAGGAATAATTGTTTTCTATGTACATAATCTAATACTTATCAGATAAGCTTCTAAGATTTTATTGTGGGCAAACAAGACAGACAAGTTTTTACATAAAACCTAATTTATGGTGGCAATATAACATGTATATGTATGTATTGCTGGGTAAATGGTTTTACATAAAATATAAGACTTGTTTTTAAAGTGTTATCGAGACATTATTCCCACGTGGCAGATCTATGGGCTAGCATCTTTCTGCAAGCCCTTCTTGTAACGGTTGTATTTGAAGGTGGAAAAAATAAAGTGTCTGAAAATCTAATAATTCTGTGTGAATCCAGCCCCCACAAGGCGGAGAGATCCCAAGAGAAGAACAAGATAAGTACCAAGAAGAGTTTGACAACTTTCAACAAGAGCTGGATAAGAGGAAAGAGGATTTCCAAAAAGACCACCCAGAGGCACAGGAACACCCAGGCATGTGCCAGCAAACCTTCTTATTAACCTTTCAGTGTTGCTACATTGCTGCTTTTAACACTGCTCATTTCAAAGCGCTGACAAAACAAGTTTCTAATTTAAATGAAAATAATATTTAGTGCACTTTTAGTGTGACTGTAACCCCCCAGACCAACAGCATACTGTAAGCATTATTCTAGTTTATTCATACAGTAGTGTTTACCTTGTTTTATATGATCAGCGAGTGGGAGGAGGTATAGAATCCCAGGTTTTGGAATGTGTTTGCAGACAGAACAGGTTATGATGCAATAAACTTGGCTGTGCTGCAGTGAGAATGTTCTGTCAATAAAGGACAGCATTATCTTATGGTGCACATTTTTATGTGTTTAATTGTTATTTTATTATTTATAGTGGACGATATGTTTGAGTCTGTAAATGACCGTGAACTAAGACAGATTTTTGAAGGCCAGAACCGCATCCACCTTGAAATCAAGCAGCTGAACCGACAGTTGAATATGATTTTGGACGAGCAGCGAAGATATGTTAGTGCCGTGACTGATGACATTGCCAAGAGAGGAGGAAGTGGCCCTGGGCAACATGAACAGGTTGGAAAATAAACAAAACAGTGCTGTTTGCACTACAGGTCTTGTAGAGTCGCACTAAACTGCATATTTCATTTCACTTCCAGATTTCTCAACAGGAACTTGATTCGCTGGTCAATGCTCAGAGAGACATTTTAAAGCAAGTTGGTGAAATGAGGTAAGAAGCAATGACTATATTCTCTCAAACCTTATGTTATTCCTATAGTAAAAAAAAAAACAAATTATAGCAACCCTGTATTGGCGAGTTTTGTGTCAATAGATCTTATTTGAAGAAGTGTCCCTTATTTTATTATATCTTTTTTTTTTTTAGCTGAAATAATATTGGTAGAAGGTTTTGCGGTTTATATCTGATTGCCATCAGCACTGCACTTTTAGGTGTTGCCATATGCCATTGGGCACATAGCTTGTGTGCTGTTGGTATAAACATTGTGAAAACAATAATACATTTGGTGACCGTAAACTTTTTTTAGCTACAACTGGGATTGTAACTTCTTGAACTGTATACTTTATCATTTTTTTTTGTATTTGTTTTTTTTGTCATCTAATTGTACGTTGTATTTGATAGGTTAGAACTTGGCATCCTATGATAAACCTGTAGTTTTACCTTATCAACTTAAAAGATTAAAAACAGTTTATAGTTTCCTTTGTAATTAATGAGGTTTTGTGTTAGCACCTCATGGTTTTCACTGGACAGATCCTCAGCTCACATATTGTATGTTTGTAGAACTGTTTTTTTTTCTATTGCTGTTTCACCATAATCAAACTGTACAGTGCTACGGAATATGTTGGCACTTAATTAGGAATAATTCTAATGTAATACAATTTTAAACTAGTAGGACCGCTTGGCTCTTATGTCCCATTTACTACAGAGTTGATTAAATTTTACAATACAACATGCATCGGTAGAACATGTAATAAGGGCAAAACACTGCAAATTTTCATGAATTGGAATTTGATTTATAGAATAGTTAGGAATTCTTGCTAATAAAATGTAGGCCTTTGAAATGATTGCAAGCATTACGTAGATGCTAGACAATGATTACTTTCCCAATACTCTGTGATTCAGCTTGTGGACCAGACTTTTCAAATTCTGTGAATTGATTAGAACTGCTTTCATTTTAAATAGGAGAGAATGAGGGTTGGCTCACTAAAAAGAATGATGTGAATAAGCAATCAAGAGGCAAAATGTGAAGCTAAAGTAGCTCCGTTGGAGATTCATTTCCAACTCTGTTAACTGCGAAATGTAGGTTTTGTATTGAGCAGGTCCTTCTTTTTGGTGGCGCTTGAGTGTTTCTTTGTAGAGCTGTTTTTCTATAAGATGAGGCTGGTCCTGATCATATATACTGGACAATGCTCTAAGTAGGTCAGCTGTTGCCTGAAGATTATGGTAGTTTTTTTTTTTTTTTGTTTGTTTGTTTTTTTTTTTCCCTGGGAAGCTTCTGCTTTAATATTCTTCACAAATCTTTATTCCAAAGACCGCAAATTAGATTTACCAGTTAAAGTCTCTAGCCTTGGTCTTATTTAATATTTGTTATGCGTTCACTTAAACTCTTCTTAATATGCTCTGCTTAGATTAAAGAAGAATTTCAGCATCTTCTCTGAAATGAACAGTCCTTCACATGTTTATTGTTGCTCATATGATTTATTGTCACTTATCCTTCCTTAGAGCAATAAGTAATTTTCTTGTGCAGATTTATGGATTTCTTTACTAATCTTCCGATTATGAACTGCCAGTTTTGATATGTTCTTTAAGATTTAAGAATAACCATTAATATTTATGATTTTGTTTTGTTCTTTTTAGAGCCAAATTAATGTGTTATGCTGTTTAACTATATTCTTTCTGTGTTTGTTTTGTAACAAATGTAGTGCCTGCTTTGTTTATTTTAAGCATTGTATTGATAAAAATCCTTTGTCTGCAAGAGCCTTCCTTTCTCTTTTTATTAACGGAGAAACAAAAATAGGAATTTTGATTGATCACCAAAAACAATTATTTTTCAATAATGCTGCAGTGGAAATGACATAAATTTATTCAAAATACACAAAATGGAAAGTGAGCGCGCGCACACACAGCAGACCACTGTAGATATTTAAAGATTGCTTAAAATTTCCCATATTTAGTGAAAACAGATATTTGGTAGCTGAAAATGGACCATACTGTGTAAAGCCTGCAACAGTATCATTTTACCTTAGTAATGGTGGATTCTAACTGAATTGTAACATACAATATACACTCTCTGATGTTCCTGATTTTTGTGAGTTGTGAGTCTGGAACATTTTACATTTCTTTAACATATTCCAGATAAACTAAATCCATTGGGGAATTGATAGTTCTATATTATATTATTTTTAATTCGTATTTATTTTGTACAAATTCTTTTTAGATCTCCTTTCACTTTAGCACTGCAAGTCAAAATAATTTTATTAGTCCACTTATTAAACATAATATACTTGTTGTATATATTAAAAGAGCTGAAATACCTGCCACTGTAGTCAGCACTAAATATAATTTCTAGCGAAATGTTTTAGAAACATTAGTACCATTGTGGGTGCCCAGAATAAAGATCACGTAATGGTAATTAAAGTTGACTCCAACCTCATGCAGCCCTCAGTGGGTTAATTTGACTACTGAGCCCAAATAAATAACCATCCAGCATGCTTTTAATGGTTGCCTAATAATAGTCAGTGAATCTAATTAGGGTACAGACCATGTTTAATAGTTCCACAAATGCAGCATTGTATGTTTTAAGCAGTCTCTCCTGTGCACACAGGTTATTTACAGTGTTTTTGGGAAAATAATTTGCTTTGTTTAGCAAGGCAACCAAATTGTACAATGACTTCTAAATATTCAGTAGATCCTTAAATAGAGCATTTTGGTATTTATTTATTTTTTAATTATTATTATTAAGGAGAAGAATAAGCTTTTAAGAAGCAAACTGTTTCTAGGGTTATTTTCCATTGTGTCCTTAGCCAGAAGTAGTAAAGGGATTAAATTGCACATGATGATAAATATTCTCGTTGTAGTCTTTAATCCTCTTTACAACAAGAAAGACGCATCACAGTGCTGGGAAAATGATACCAGCATATTGATTAAGGTGCATGTTTGTGTTCTTATCTGATCACTTTACTGATCCCTGTTAGAGGCCTGGTTTCTAACCTTCCTCTGAGTTTTAATTTGATTTTGTGTTTTTCTTCTATTGGGATAACAGAATGAAAACACACAAAAAATATTTCAGCCTCGCAACAGCACATATGGAGGGAAGAGTTTGGTCTTATGTTTCAATGTAATCTTGAACCTTAGCTTGAAGCTCTCCTTATCCTTAAGCCTCTTCATTTCTTGCACAACTGCATTAATTTCTTTTGGAGAGCTTTGCACATCTCGAGAGGCTAGTGCTATATAGGTTTTCTGTAAATCAAAAGGAACATTTATATCAACTTCCGAAACAAACATAAAATATAAATCAGAACATGTCCTGTCAATGTATTGCGCATATATATGCGCAATACATTGACAGGACATAATTGTAAAAAAATTATAAAAAAAAAAAAAATAGTATAAAAAGGGGTTTTTAGAACATCACTTATTTCCATAACACACGCCTCACAGTTATATATTCTCTATACACATTCCCCTTCACAATCCTGGGTTATACTTTGTTTTTGTTTTGTTATTAATGTAAAGTCTATATTTGTTATTATTGTTAAAAATAGAGGATGGCATTACTTTTACCTTGTACATGAAAGCATTTCTTTTATTTTTTAATAATTTTATTTTTCGTAGAGCTAGGGTTAGGCTATACACATGAAGAGAAGCACAGCGTTTCTCACTCACTAGTGAGCATAATTAGTGGTTGCTCTACTGGAGTGTGGCTTTCCTCAATCTGAAACCAGGGCTTTCTCTATTAGTGATGGATTTCACTCTCTCTCTATATTTACATTTATGTACATGGTTTTTAGTAAAGACACTCGCAGAGAGTATAGTGGTACCATGAATCTAGGATGAAATTAAAGGAACACTGTGACTTTACCATTATTTTCATTTTAATGTTGGAGTGTTATTTAGGACATTTAATTTTACTAAATCTTTGTGTATTAAAAAAGTAAAATCCATAAAACTTGCATGTAATCCAGTACCAAGACAGCCTCCACTCTGTAGCCTAATCTGCCTAGTGTGAGATCAGCAATATCTGGTCCACTCAAATCCATTTAGAAACATTGCAGGCTACAATGTATTATGTAATATTTTCTGCCTTGCTCTGCCAATCCAGTGCTTCTCTTAGAGAAGCATTAGCCACATTTAACATCATCATGCACAGCCCAAACATGAAGATGGGCAAAAGTTGAATATTTTACAGAGAGTTTTCCCAACGCCAGTAATCTTGTAGAAATAGAACCTTTCTATCTAAAATGTTGCTGATGTAGGACCTACTGTCTCATCAAATAGGTTTCACAAAATAACAGATGACACCATTTTAGACATCACTATTTATTTGCCGAACATGAAATTATAAAACAAATAGAAACCTTTTTGCAAAAATAGCTGATTTGGGGAGAAAAATCTCAACTGTTGTCACATCTTTGCTATTTCTACCTATATTTTGCAGTTCTATACAATTTTGTGTTTAGTGAATGCACTGTATTGTGGGGATATAAGCGGTTGTTTATCACACAATGCATAATCTGTGTAGATATATTTTACCAATTGTGAGGTGTGTTTAAAAAAGCAAACACAAAAAAAACAGCCTGCAGTGTTTAAAAGAATTACATAAATATGTGCAATTCCAAAAAATAGGGCACTGCTCCAGAATTGTGGAAGAGATCTTTATTTTTTATTTTTTTTTTTATTTTTTTTTACAATACCACACTTTAAGATTTGTTATTCATGATGTATTTAACACAAGTAATATTTTCTAAATATTTATTTGCTGAGTAATTTCACCAAATGTCTGTTTGCAGAAATTCAATGACTGAAACCTTACGTCTTGCTGGGGGAAATCAACACTTGGGCTCTGCTGGCTACGAGACCACACAGCACTTCAATGACATAAAAGAACATCTTCATGTAGTGAAAAGAGACATTGAGCATCTTGTGCAGAAAAACCTGGTAATGTATATTACATGTGCATCTATCCCATGAGAGGCAATAGATCTGAAAGCAACTTTGTCAACAAAGTTTCATCCAACAAAGTTATAGTAATGTTAGCGGCAAGCACAACCTTTGTGTATTTGAATTCCCCCTTGTTCAGGGAGATATATATATATATATATATATATATATATTTTTTTTAGATTTTAGTCATTTTTAAGCCAGGCTACTACTGATTTAAATTAAATATGAACGTGTGTTGACCGCAGCTGATTTCAACCTTGGATTTCCATGGTAGGAAAACTAAAAAACAAACAAGCAATAAAAGGCGCTAAAAGTGCTTAGTATAAAATTAATGTAAAAATAATAAAAGTGTAGCAGCACCTAAAAGTGTTCAAGCTCATAAAACTCCATACATAAAATCCAAAGCAAAAATAGGTGTGCTGTACCTTTAAATATTAGTGCAAATAGTGCAATAATTTGTGCAAAAACACAAAGTGTATATACAATGTAATCACATTCAGTGTAACATAAGTGCAAAATTGCCAATGTGATGGTGGAAAAAATTCAATATCCAAATAATAACTTACAAAGAAAGTGTAGATCTCCTTTGATTCTCCAAATCACAGAAGAACATATGAAAAGAGAGATATAAAATGGAGAGACATAGTATAATATTGTTTTACATAAGTATAAGAACCAACAATGTAAAATAGGAGTATCACTCACAAAAAAGGAGCAGTAAAAGCCTGCTCTAACTGATCCAGCTTTTGATCCACAGACCAGAACTTCAATGGTGGTACAAGTAGGCAGAACACCAGCTCTCAAAGTAAACAGCCTTTATTAAAAGTAAATAAAATCCACATTCCCCGTTTCCATATAGAAGTCTGATAACCTTTAGCCAGTGCTGTATTGCAAATATCTACCAGTCCCTATGGATTTCCATGGTAGAGCTAAGCTCCCGTCATTCCAATGTGAGGGGAAGAACTACATTTTAATGGAGACTACCCAGAATTATGAACTATAGTCAGGTTTTTTTTTTTTTTTACAATTCGTTTTATATAGGTTTATCTGCAATTCATTTTAAATTATTACGTGCAATATTTATGATGTCCTTTTTCACAATTTATGGTGCTTAAAATGTTATTCACTTTCTTTTTCTTATTAAAATGATCCTTCAATATTGTTTCCTATTACTTTTTTTTATTTTTAATGTTTGCAAAAACATTTACATTCACCACTTGTCTCTCTCTTCTAAGAGTTATAGTACCTAGCAGGAAACCTAAAACCATAGGTTTTCTGTAAAAGGCAGACACCTTTGGGTGGAGTTATGGTTTAATATGTTTGATTTCCTCCAGCCCATATAATGCCAATTTTGCAGTACAGAACTGATCACGCATACCTTGGTAAACTGGAATCAAAAAGATGGTTGTAGAATCTTGCATACTTATTCCTCCAGGGCTCACCCTACTCATTGATACAAAACATGTATTGATTGTTCGCTTTAGTGCATAAATATGTGTGTGTTCCACTCCAACTATTATCCTACAATTACTATAATATTTCATACATTTGTATATGCATTATACATTTTAAGGGACATATAATCGGCTTGCCAATATGTTAACTCTGTACATTCCTTTCCACCCCTCCATACTGACCCTCACTACAGAAAAGCTTGTTGCTTGCTGTCAAAATGATATTAACTTCCTTCCACCTCCAGATACACCATCCTGATCTCCAGAGCCAACAATTCAATAGTTTTGCTGTCACGAATCACCATCCCGCCCCTACAACCTGTACTCCCACCCAACTGTGCAGCTGTATGTAATCTTAAATATTTGCCTAACAAGCAGCATCATATTTGCATATTCCCCATGATTCCTGGTCATTACTTGAAATACCATCTGCAACCTTATGTACTTGTTTTGTTTCTCTATTGCACGGTGTTGCAGAATATGTTGGTGCTATACAGTAATTTTTCAACTCTCCTTTAGATTGTAAGCTCACAAAATAGTAATTGATATAGCTTTAAACTAACTTTTTTGTTTTGTTTCTGTCCTAATAGCCTCATGAAAAACAGAAATGCCCCGATTTGCCTGCCTTTCCCTCTTGTTTATCTACAACACATTTCTTTATTTTTGTAACGGTGCAAACAGTGTTATTCTTTGGTTATATTGTGTATAGGTAAGTTAAAGTACAGTGTTACAGAATGTTAATTTGCCAAATGACAATGACTTAAATTTTCCCATTGGGGAAATATAAACTTATGAAGCCATTTGATTTGATTCAGTTTCTGAATATAGCTTTTTATAGTGATCATTTCCCCCTAAAAATGATTTTTAGAATTGAAAATGGCATGTAGGGTGTTTTTATAAATTCCATGTACACAAATACAGGGGTTTAAGGCAGCGTGTGTGTGTGTGTGTGTGTGTGTGTGTGTGTGTAAAAAAAGGCCAAGTCCGAAGCGGATGCCAACGTCTTTGAGTTTAAGTGCCAGCCTCTACTTAAAGGGACACTGTAGGCACCCAGACCACTTTAGCTAATTGAAGTAGTCTGGGTACTGTGACCCTTTTGCACTTAGTGCTGCAATGTAAAACATTGCAGTTCCAGAGAACAGCAATGTTTGCAAAACAGCTCTAAGTCTGCCCTCTGGAATCCCTCCTGCGGACGTTGGCGTGGTGGAGCCTGTCTCAGCGCTGGATTCAGGCAAGTGGCTGAAGGGATTTTAACCTATTAACCCTACAGTGCCAGGAAAACTGCTTTGTTTTCCTGTCACTATAGGATCCCTTTAAGTGCATCAATTGACACAGTATATGAAAGTAGTAGCCGAAATGGTCAGTCCCACTTCCTGCTTTGACATAGTTTTAGAGAAATCTGTCTAGTTACCTTGCAAAATGTAGTGTAACAACAAAGGGCGGAGTTACGTATAGGATTGTATTGACAAAATTTGTAGCATTTAAGAAAACTAAGAAAACTATGGAAGGTGGGTAAGAGACTAATCTTGGCAGTAAAGTGAGGGAGAGAGTGAAACCATCAACAGATATTGCACTAAATATTTAAATGTTTCTAAAGGACTTGAAATGTCTACTCTATGCTCATAACTGGAAATTGAGCAAATGTAAGATTCCTAGAGTGTTAAACTTATTTCTTGCTTGATAAATGCTAGATTGTTATTGCGGGGGGGGGAGGGGGAGGGGCTAGAGTAGCTCTCTGGAGGTTTCAAGACCAAAGCCACTAGTAGGAACAAGTGGAGTTGTGCACTGATCAGTACAGATGTTCAGAATATACGTCATCTGCAATAGTGCGAGCCACCTGGAGCTGCACTGCAAACTTGGGTAAACCACATAATTGGAAGATAGAGCACATGAGGACCAAAGGAGAACAGGCTGCTACTAGCAGTGGGAAGGATGAGCATGGGCTACTACTGGTAGTAGGGAAAGGCAGGATTAGCTACTGCTGGGACAGTGTGGAGAGGCAGAATGAGCCAGTGCTTGAAATGGGTGCTGAAGGGACCAGAATGGACAACTTTTGGCATTGGAGAATTTTAATTTGTTTTTCTATTTTTGTTTTTCAGAACTAAACAAGAAGCGGCAGCAAAGAAGTTCTTTTGATGATCTGTTTAATTGTGTGTATTTGTACTTTATGATGCACACAGAGCATGTCTGTACATGAGGAACTTTTTTAGTACCAAATGGCTTCATTAGTTTAAATTATTGAATTTCTTGGAACTGAAATAAAACTTTTGTTAATGGATGGCAACAAAAATGGGGTGAGGATGAATTGCAGAATATTTTTAACTATTTTTTTAAAAACTTGTGAGTCCACAAAAGAGCTTTGTTTTTTTAACTGGATACAGTTACCCCTGCTGCCCATCAGCCATCTCTATCTAAAGCTATCTTTTCTTGCTCAGGTCTTGAGGTTTTGTGGGTTTTTTTTTTATTTTATTTTTTATTTTTTGGGGGGGTGGGGAGCGGGGTGGTTTATTTGTTTTTTGTTTTGTTAATAGACAATATGGTTTCTCTTCTTTATACTTCTGATGCAAATTTCTTAAGTTTTCACAGCAACATTCTTCTAAATGATTAATATGTAATATGGTCATTGAACAGATTACTACATGCTATATTTTGCTTTTATTCATGTCACTTAATCATTGGCTGCATCATGGTTTAGCTGTCCAAAGGTGCTTAAATATACTAGCACTCAAATCTTTTGAGTATCTTTTCACTTACCATAGTCTTATCATGGCTTCATTTATGTAACTCCAGTCTACAAAACAAATTTGTAGAAAGAATGTGCCTAAACAAAGTATATATTGCCCCAACAAAGTGTTTCCTCTAAAAGCAAGTTGGAGAAGTTTAGCACCTAAAACTTTAAGATATAAATTTTTTTTTTAAATCTTCAGTCACACAGCGTTTTATAAAGTTGCCATTCTTAACAGCTACGGTGCTAGACTGCTTACAGAAAATACAGATCAGCCCCTTCAGGTTTTGCTATTGGAGAACTGTAACAAAGTCTCTTCCTACCCAGAATTGTTAAAGGGACACTATAGTCACCTGAACAACTTTAGCTTAATGAAGCAATTTTGATGTATAGAACATGCCCCTGCAGCCTCACTGCCCAATCCTCTGCCAATTAGGAGTTAAATCCCTTTGTTTATGAACCCTAGTCACACCTCCCTGCATGTGACTTGCACAGCCTTCCCTAAACACTTCCTGTAAAGAGAGCCCTATTTAGGCTTTCTTTATTGCAAGTTCTGTTTAATTAAGATTTTCTTATCCCCTGTTATGTTAATAGCTTCCTGGACTCTGTAAGAGCCTCCTGTATGTGATTTAAAGTTCAATTTAGAGATTGGGATACAATTTTCATGCAGGCTCTGTCAATCATAGCCAGGGGAGGTGTGGCTAGGGCTGCATAAACAGAAACAAAGTGATTTAACTCCTAAGTGGCAGTGAATTGAGCAGTGAAATTGCAGGGGAATGATCTATACACTAAAACTGCTTTATTTAGCTAAAGTTTAGGTGACTTGTTCTGAAAGATGCGCGATCAGTACATGTTTTATGATCTTTAAACTAAACTGGTTGTATCAGCCAGCAACTGCCATTTTTATTTAGTCCATCTACTCTACTGAAAAAGCCAGAGCTAGAGCTGTTTGTGGGTCCTAAGGACAGATTTGTACCTATATAATTTATGAAGGTGGAAGAGTGGGGTATCTGCATGTCAGTGTTATATAAATATACTGTGCTCTGTCATTGGGACACCTGTCAATAAATCCCATCTCCCATTGACTGAGCTCCATTCGACATCTGTACAATTACATGTATACAAGCAACGTGACTAATGTATAAAAAATAAATACATGAAACTAAACTCCATGTTTTGCCATTTTTATGCATAGAGCTTATCCGTGAGATTCCAGGACTATCCTCTATTCTGTTTAAGAGGTGTACTTTGTACTGGTGCTGATTCTAGTGAATATCTCCATATAAACTGTATGATCAACACTGCTTTTATTTTGTTTAATGCTGTAGAATATAGAGTTTTTGGTACCCAATGTACATTCTAAGGGCCATATACCTATACTTCTTGCGTAGGTTATGTGCTAGGTCCACTTTCCCTGTCTCCTTCCACATTGTTGCTTATATCTCCATCAATTAGGAAAAAATCACCGTAGCCATAAGTCTTCCCCTATTGCCTGTGACATTAAAGGATGAATTTTATACTTATTTTTGCAGAGTATGTACATTCAAGCCCCACCACCCTTGTCCTGCACTTTGAAAAATCTCAGGTAGGGTTTTTGTGCATAAGTCGACTGCAGCTCCATCAAATATTGTACACAGTGCCATTCACAAAATTGGATTACTTTCAAGGGTTCTATTCACATTGTTTAAAAGGAGTCTTGTTGTGAATTAGTTTGTGATGGGTCCAGTTTATTATTGATTACTACAAATAAACAAGCAACTGGGCTTCACTGTCACTTCAGATGTTGAACATTATAACTCCCATGATCAGCCAGAGGATAACAAGTTTTAGTGTGACGTGATCTTCCTATTCTTGATTAGCATTCATTTATATGTCTCTTTTCTATCCAGCAGGTGAATGGAAGTTACTTTCAATTATTATGACTATTCTCACCAACACCATTTTGATAGATATATATATATATATATATATATATATATATATATATATATATATATATATATATATATATATATATATATATATATATATATATATATAAAATGAAAATTGATTCCTGCACTCACGCTGAATTTTCCCTTCACGACCGGGTGCCAACCATATATAGCCAAAAAATATAAAAATATAAATTAATGGTTGCACTCACGGTTTTTCCAAATAAAAGTCCAAAGTTTATTGTCAATTCATAAAAGCTGCGATCAACGTTTCAGTCCCACCAAGAGGACCTTCATCAGGATCATAAAAACAACAATTTGCAAATAAAGCACAATTTATATAAGACAAAATTAATTAAAATAAGTGATTTAAGGTGAGTGAGCTTACCCCCAGTGCATGTTACCGTCTACCCGGCGTCCCAGCAGCCCGTGTGCGTCTGTGCAAACGTGCTCCACCCCGCGTGATGACGTCATATTACGCCGGCGTCACTGTCCGTTTCCATGGTGACGCGAATACAAACAAGCGTCACTATGGAGAAATAAAACAAAACGGACAGTAATGTGTGTTGAAACTATTGCGAACAGGGTGATCAGTGGATTAAATTTCTAACCACATATAGAAAAGGAAGAGTTAGTTCATTAAGAATATAGATATAGTGTATTATAGTGACCTGGCTAAGTGCCATTACATATAAAAGTGCAGTGTGCATTAAAATGCCGTTAATTACTGAGGTTAATCTGCCAGATACTACCTCATAGAATGTGCAATATATAAATAAATGTATCCACGATTGGAGAGTGTATATGTGTGTATATATATATATAATATAGTGTTGTATGCGCATTTTATTTCCTAGTTCTCTCAACTTTTCATACTAAGTAAGCAATTGTCAGCAGAATCGTAGTAAAGCTGTCAAATACTAATTAAACCACCTTCCAATATGCAACAAAATTCTCCAAGGAGTGTCTAGCTCAAGGCTGCCCAACCAGTAGATCCACAGATGTTGTAGAACTACAACTCCCATGATGTTTTGTCATTCAATGGCATGCAAAGCATAATGGGAGTTGTAGTTCTCCAGCATCTGGGGATCTACCTGTTGGGCAGCCCTGGTCTAGGTGGTTCTGTGACAATTGGAAGCCATTTTGAATAGTTACTGAGTAAACAACTAGTGAAGCAGATATGTACTTGAGACTGAATAAAAGGTTGACTGAAATTCTTGTTTCAGAGTCTCAGTGATATTTAGGGAGAGTTACTGACACAAGACAATAACACGGGATTGAATGTTCTAATCACGATCACACAGGAAACATAACTGCTCGCTACAAGGATTTGTGACTGGACCTTGCAATGGCTATAAATGACCCTTGTCTGTGTTTGCACCACAACAAAATTTGTTTTAGAAATATGATTTAACTTTACTTACTGTATGTGGGCATTATGCTAAAAATCAGACATTTGTTTTACACTCTATTGGCATTTTTAATAAGTCCTAGTGCTTGTAAAGCCTTCAGGGCCTTTGTAAATACCTATATGTAGGGCATTTACCATTTTTATTTATATACTTTTGTCACATCTATTGTATGTGAGCCAAATCTCAGTTTTGCTTTTATAGTAACATTTCAGACCTTATGTGAAATTTTCAATATAAAACACTGTTTATTGTCTAAACCTTTTAATTAACCACATTTTTAGGACCGTTGAACGAATAAGTAAAGACATTGAAATTGTATCAATTTACATAATTAAAATTTCTTTATTTTTAAATTGTTGCTTTATGATATGCATATATGCTAGCTATAACTACTTTGAAAAAAAAAAAATAATTAATCACAACATGCTCGGTAGTGAAGGGGATATGTGATATTTTTGATAGATTCTTAACGAAATTAGCTCATTTACTATATCCATTACATCATCTATTGGATCGTAAAAACCAGTGGGCCTGGGTTGTGGATTTGAATGCTCCAAAGAACTTCTGGAATAAAGGATTTTTGTCCACTATGACCTTTTTAGAATTTTTGGTAATGGTCCGTAATGCTTTGTCATATGGTTAGGGCGCAATGATTTCACACATGCCCGATTGTTTTGAATGTCCTGTGTCTTTTGCGTCCAGATCTGACACCAGCTGAGAAAATGTATGCCCAGATTGATCGGGAAGCTCTAGCAATAAACTGGACTGTGTATTAATACCACACTTATATTTATTGCAAACCTTTTACTCTGATGGATCACAAACCACTATTGTCTATTTTTCACCCTCAGAAGGGGTACCACTTTCAGTGGCTTGACTAATTGTGCTCTTCAGTTTACAGCTTACACCTAATTTATTTAAATATAGATGCCACGGTGCTCATACTAATGTGGATAGGTGTTCAAGATTCCCAATGGTACCTGATAAGGCAACATCTTCTAAAATAATAGAAATTCCTCCTCAGCCTTTGAATGTAAATTTAAAAGTGATTGCTAATTCTGTCTTTTTTTTTTTTTTTTTTGTGTGGCCTAAAGTAATTTGCCCTGATCTTCAACCATATTTTACAAGGAGTGAAATTGTTCATGACTCAGGCTGACTTGACTGGGGTTCACCAGTAATCGTGACAACTTTGCTGTAAAATGAGCACTGAAGTTACCACACTGCTTACATAAGGGTAAAGTAAAAATGAAGCAAAGAGCATGGAAATATGTTTGGATACAGATTGCTGCTTGCAATGCATGTGCACAGACCTGACCATGCCAACTGAATCTTGGACAAGAATACATATTCATTTTGCATTACCAGTGGATGGCTTAATGTATTTAGTAACTGTGGATACTCATTCTAATAGACCAGAAGTTGTTGTCAAGTACTACAGCAGAACAAATGTTTTCTAGAATTTCCAGTATGGTTGCACGATTTGGATTTCTTAAAATAGATTTCAGGCTATGGTCCACGGTTTGTATCACAGGAATTAGAGACTTTTTGGACTACAAATAATACCCAGCCCTGTAAGACAGCTCCATATTTTGAAGGCTTCTAAGGGGCAGGTTGAATGATATGTACTAACTTTGAAATAACTATTGGAACACCTCACATGCTGCCACATGGTTTATCACCTGCACTGTTAATGTGTGGAAGATGCCTAAGAACTCCTCAAGTTGGGCCAGAACATCCTAAATAGGAGTTTATATGAATGATAGTATGGATTAAAACAACCATTGGCAGAATAAATGGATTCCAGCCATCTTAGTACAAGCAATTGGCAAGAGAGTGTTCAAAGTTCAAAACAAGTCGGGGGTACAATTGCCACCATGTAGAACAGGTGAGACCTAGATTATTAACAGTTAAAAGACAATCACAGGATTCAGATACTGAGAATACCTGGCATGGAGTGTGGTGTCCTCCCAAATGTCTCATTTACAAACCCTTGGTTACTCCTTCAGAGACCAGTTTCCCTCCTAATACCCTACGACCCTCTAGGAAGAGAAGGCTTCCCCCCAGATGTCCATGTAAATCTGGACTATGCCTTTTGATTTTCTGAATGGGACACCTAAAACATTTTTTCTTACTGAAGTGCTTTATGTATAAAGGGTGTATCCTTTTATTTTTCATTTTACAAAAAGTGCAGATTTCAATAGAAATTGGCTCTTTTATAAATTAAACTTATTATGCCACCTGGCAGTCAGATGGCCGGTCCTGCTATTTCCTGTATATTAGCTCAGTGGAACTAAGCTCAAGAGGCAGGAATTTCTCAGAGCAACTGCCTTGCAAAGACTTCTCATTGAGCTGCATTGAGAAGTCTGATTGGACAGCTGTAGAAAGGGGAGAACTTTCAAAGGCTTTAGACGAGATCTTGCAAGCTCTGCGAAATGCATGTATGTCTTTTTTGTTGACTTTTTAAAATTATATAAATAAACTGCTCTACGTTCAAGTTTATGTTTTAGTGTTGTACGTATATTTCTGTTGAATGTTACATTGTTACCCAAAGTATTTCAGAACTTTTATTTATTTTCAGGGGAAAGAGGGGTGTTGAATAAATTGCAACTTTAAGCACATGACATGGGCCTCTTTGTGACAGGTGGAAACTATTTTGAGTGGTCACTGAGGAATGCGCTTACGCCTAATTATTTAACCCCTTAAGGACACGTGACATGTCATGATTCCCTTTTATTCCAGAAGTTGTGTCCTTAAGGGGTTAAAGGAGATGCCTATCAGCCAAATGAAGCAGATATTTGCTTGAGGCTGAATACAAGATTTAAGGAATTTCATGTTCTAGAGTCTCACGGATATTTGGGAACAATTACTAATATAACGTAGTACCACAGCACTGAATATTATAATCATGACCACACATAACCGTTCCAAAATCCATTGGCATTAGATGAGGGTTATTGGTACGATATGGGGGAATTCTTGAAAAATGTCTGCCACCTCTTTCTTCCATGGAAAAAGTATGGAGTGATTTGAGTGAAAGAAAACGGTCACATCAAAGAAAACCCAATGGAGCGCTGATTTAAGAGCACTTACCCTTAAGATAAGGGAAACAAATATTCTATATAACAGATATCTAAAAAAAAGAGATAAATGGGAACAATGTGGTGTAGTATATCTAAATATTTGTAAATAGTGGAGAAGTCCATATGTAACAAACTTAAATGGCTTAGAGCCTGGGGAGAATAGGCTCAAGTCACAAACGCTGGGTATTTAAAGATAATACCAAACTTCTTCTATGTTGACGTCCAGGTACTCAGAAGAGAGAAAGGAGAGTGGAACAAATTCCTAGTGTGTTATCCTTATTACATATATTTATTTATAAAATATTTTACCAGGAAAGATACATTGAGATTTCTCTAGTTTTCAAGTATATATATGTCAAAATAAAGAATGGTGCAAATGCTTGCTCACCTTATTGAGCGCCAAAGATAACTGGGCCTTTAAGAGGGCAGCCAGGACTTTTATATAGACCATTATTAGATGGTATTTTATGTTTGTTTACAAATAAATTGTTTTTACTAAGTTCCATGAGCTGCAGCATCTTTTCCTGCTTCAAAAGAAGAGTTGTGCCCTCTTAAAGGCACAGTGCTGTTTATACTGAGCCCAGTTATCGTTGGCTCTCAAAAAGTGAGCAAGCATTTGCACCATTCTTTACTTAGAGGTGCTTAGATGTGTGTTGAGCTGCTAAATATCTTAATTTGGTTCTGCATTTTGCAACTTCTAAGCGCCTTGTATTTCACAGTTTATCTCCCTTCCATGGGCATGAGGAAGGTATTATTGATGCCCACAGGTGGCTATTGTGCCCCCAAACCCTTGGCAACACCCACTAAAATTGTCCCTCACTCTAGTAATAGTAAAAGGGTCCGTGTATGTATATGTGTATAAATATAATGTGTGTATTCTGCACACACTTACCATGAAATGTATTCATTCTTCTGTCTTCTTGTTCAAAAAAGGCCAAATAAAAATCCATAATACACACTGAGGATTAAAAGTAAAATAAGACCTGAAGATCAAAAAAACAAAATTGTGATGAAATTTTTTTTTAAAAAAACCCTGCAAAAATAAATGGAGGGATTTGCACCTACTAATGATTGGAGGTGGGAAAGGCGTTTATAAGCCAACCTTCTAGAACTCCCTGACAGACTAGTCTTGCTTCTTACGAGACTTGCCCAGTAATGCAATCCTCTTTATGGCTCACTTTGTAGTAGATATGCCACCCCTTGCACCATGTCAGGTGAGGGCCTAAGGGAGTAAGTATTCCTTTCTACGGTAATATGGGGGACAATATGACCTCTATAAACATATTTTGTGTGTGTGACAGTTTGCTAGTAAACACTGGGCAGCTGTTACATAATTCATTCCATGTTGAGTTTTTTTAATTTTATATTAATAAACAGTTTGCCCACTGATAGTGGTAGCAGAAGTTGAAGAAGGATTGTGTTTACACAGAATGAATTTTACCTTAATTATAATGCTGGCAATGAGCAGAATGAATTTTACCTTAATTATAATGCTGGCAATGAGCAGAATGAATTTTACCTTAATTATAATGCTGGCAATGAGCAGAATGGATTTTACCTTAATTATAATGCTGGCAATGAGACATTAAATACTTCCAACATATTGACTGCGGCTTCTATAGCGAGATTGCTCCAAATGCTGCGTATTCATTTTCATGAAGAGTTGCCGTCTCTGAACTGAATTGTTTTCCCAACTTGGCTGCTGGGTATCATTCTGGTATTTTGTCATTGAAAAGCTGCAATATCCCAAATTTTTTTTATATAATGTAGGCAATAAAGAGGTTTGCAAATAGAATATTTTACAGGCAAAAAAAATATATGTAATTATTTTTAAAGAAATTTTGTTGACATTCTGCAGTTTTTAAATGCTAAATGTATTATGTATGCCTTTTACAGTGTGCGCAGTATTTTCATATGGAAAGTTAATTTCTTTGAAATGATCACTTCTAATCTAGGATTACAGAATATCCGCAACTTTCTGGGAATTGAGAGTAATTTAATTAGAAACCCACTAATGCAAATGGTGGAATTACTAGATGAGAACTCCGCCTCCTCTCCTGTCACTGAAAATAGAGCAGTGTTAACTAGTGATCTGTGATTAAGCTGATTGTAATCAGCCTGTAGCACACACCATATAATTCAGATGATATGCAGGGTATCTGCTGACTGGGCTGTGCACGTTCTGCACTTTCAAAAAAACCAAAATATTATTATATGAACAGATATATGATCCATACTGCTTTGTTCATCAGTTGTATTATGCCTCTCTGGATTTAGATGATGAGATGAAACTGCTTTATCAAGGGGTACATTTGGTTCTGCAAATGTTTGGACCAAAACAAACCCTTAACTTTCTCAATTGGTTTATAAAGTCTTCCCCAAGAAGCTACTGAACACTACTGGAGTGAGATCAGGTCCTACCTGGACAACATGCAGGCTCCCTACACCTTAATTTACGCACTCTACCTACACAACATGCACTCTCCAGCTACCTACACCTTCATTAACTTACTCTACCTACACAACATGCACTCTCTAGCTCCCTACATCTTTTTTAACTCACTCTACCTACAAAACATGCACTCTCCAGCTCCCTACATCTTTATTAACTCACTCTACCTACAAAACATGCACTCTCCAGCTCCCTACATCTTTATTAACTCACTCTACCTACACAACATGCACGCTCCAACTCCCTACACCTTCATTAACTCACTTTACCTGCACAACATGCACACTCCAGCTCCCTACACCTTCATTAACTCACTCTACCAACACAACATGCACACTCCAGCTCCCTACATCTTTATTAACACATTCTACCTGCACAACATGCACTCTCCAGCTCCCTACACCTTCATTAACTCTCTCTACCTGCACAACATGCACACTCCAGCTCCCTACATCTTTATTAACACACTCTACCTGCACAACATGCACTCTCCAGCTCCCTACACCTTCATTAACTCTCTCTACCTGCACAACATGCACACTCCAGCTCCCTACATCTTTATTAACTCACTCTACCTACACAACATGCACTCTCCAGCTCCCTTACACCTTCACTAACCTCCTCTTCTTGTCACCGCATGCACATTACATTTAACTGACATTTAATGTGGATAAGTGCAAGATAATGCATCTTGGACATAGAAACCCAGAATATTACAGAATATTTGATAGAGTCCTAACCTCAAAATATGAGGAAAGGGATTTAGGGGTGATTATTTCTGATGACTTAAAGGTAGGCAGACAATGTATTAGAGCAGCAGGAAATGCTAGCAGAATGCTTGGTTGTATAGGGAGAGGTATTAGCAGCATAGGCATGCGCATCCTATTGCATTAGGGTGTGCACCCTAAAGCACAAACACACGCCACGTGTATATATATATATATATATATATATATGCAGAGAATAAGAGATGCACTCTAAGGACTTGTATAAGCAAAAATTGTAGTATTTATTTAAAAAGAAGGTTTACATAGTATGATCGACGTTTCGACCCCTCAGGGTCTTCCTCAAGATCTTATTCTCTGCATATATTTTTCAACGTGGGATTGCACCAAGGCATTAAAAAACTTTGCATTGGAGAAAGGGTGAGTGCCAAGCATTTCTGTTTTATATATATATATATATATAAATATAGAAGACCCCTCCACTCCAACTATAACAAAACAAAAGATACCTGGTGCTCTGGTAGCTGAACCATAAGAGAAGGAAAAAACCGGCCCTCAAGGATTTCCATGTATTATTGCGAATAATAAATCCCATGTATTTAAATCTTCATTTATAGCGAAGAATAAATCTGATTTATTCTTCGCAATAAATGAAGATTTAAATACATGGAAATCCTTGAGTGCCGTTTTTTTTCCTTGTCTTATATATATATACATACATACACACACTTACATATACTGCTGTTTGTGTGTGTGCTGTTAGTGCACTGTGTGAGGGTGCTGTTAGTGTGATGTGTGTGTGAGGGTGTTGGTAGTGTGCTATGTGGGTGAGGGTGCGGTTTGTGTGTGAGGGTGCTGTTTGTGTGCTGTGTGTGAGGGTGTTTGTGTGTGTGTTAGGGTCCTGTTAGTGTGCTGTGTGTGTGAGGGTGCTGTTTGTGTTGTGTATTTGTGAGGGTGCTGTTAGTGTGCTGTGTGTGAGGGTGTTGAGGGTGAGGGTGTTGTGTGTTTGTAAGGGTGCTGTGTGAGGATGCTCTGTGTGTATGGGTGCTGTTTGTGTGCTGTGTATGTGAGGGTGCTGTGCGCACACGCTGTTTGTGTTAGGGTGCTGTATGTGTGTAGGTGCTGTGTGTGTGCTGTATGTTTGGAGGGATTGTGAAGGTGAGGGCAGATTAGTAAATAACCTCCCTCCCTTCTTACCTTATGTAGGGAGGGGGGATCCTCCCTGTCCAAGGGAGAGTGAACTCTAGCCTGCGGGGCTAGAGTTCACTCTCGCGAGATCTGAGCATTGCTGTGGCAATGCTCAGATCTCGCGAGAGGAACCTGGTGGAGCTTCTGTCTAGAGCTCACCGGGTCCTCTCCTGCCTCCCTCCATTCTGCTGTGGGCTGGTGAGGTAGATCTTTGATCTCCTCGCTGGCCCATGGAGGCTTAGAGCAGAGCCGGCACTCAGATAGCGCCAGCTCTGCATGAGCCGACAGGGGAGATCCGGAGATCTCCCCTGCCGGCAGGGGTCAAGTCCTGGGGAATAAAGTGTGGGAACTCTCCCAAGATTCCCACCCCCCCAAAAAAATTATTTACTCTCGTGTGTGTATATATATATACATATACACGCGTACACACACATACTCAGACACACACTTACAGACACACACACATATATTCACAGACACACATACACTCACAGACACATACACTTACAGGCACACACACATACATTCACACACTCACACACACTTACAAACACATACACTCACACACACATACACTTACAGGCACAGACACACACACATACATTCACAGACACACTCACAGACACACACATACATTCACAGACATACACTCACAGACGCACACACACTTACAGACACATACACACACACATACATTCACAGGCACTAACAGACACACACACATACACTCGCAGACACACACATACATTCACAGACACACACACAGACACACACATACACTCACAGACACACACATACATTCACAGACACAGACACATACACACACACATACATTCACAGACACACACACATTCACAAAAAAAAAAATTTAATTCAAAATTGTCCACCCAGCCTCCCTACCTGGAAATCTGGCGTGGACTTGTCCCTGGGATCCAGTGGGTCTGGCGCCTGTCTCCATACAACAAGCGGCAAGGGAGCTGTGTGCTCTCTGCTCCGTCTCGCCGCGCGGGCTGTCTGCTGTAGCTGGGAGCCAAAATGTGACATCATATTCCGGCTCCCGCCATCAGCAAACGGCGCGCAGCGAGAGGGAGCAGAGAGCACACAGCTCCCTCGCCGCTTGTTATATGGAGACAGGCGCCAGACCGGGGGGGAGGGTTGTCCATCACTTTTTGCTCCCCCCATGACAGGAGGAACACGGGGGGAGGAGGAGGGCATTTGGGGAAGGCAGGGTGCAAATGAAAGTATTTAGAAAATTGGGCAGACAAGATGGGCCGAATGTTTCTTATCTGCCGTCACATTCTATGTTTCCAGCTACCCACATATCCTCTCAAGTGTGAGAGAATGAGGGAAGAGGTGGCAATGTGGGGAGGCTTTGCTAAACACCGTCTCTTTTTACTGTAATGCCTTTATTTATATAATGTTTGATCCCCTCCTGCTTACCTCTGGGGCAGGAAGGTGGGCAATAATACATTTAAGGTGGTCTGGTGGATTTCTTGGTAGTCCAATGATGTCCCAGTGAAGGTCTATGGTGGAGCACGTGGTGCAGACCATACTAATTGCCACTCCGAAACGCGCGTCGGATCTTCTCTGAGGGGATTCCCACTCACGGCACCCTGGCACATCACTGTGTACTATTCACGATGCACTAGGGAATCCTCTCTTCCTTCCCCCCCCCCCTATTTTTTCTCACTTTTTGGTTATGATTATTATTAATTTTTGTTAATCACTATGCCCTCATTTTGCTTTTAGAGCTCTACATTACCTGACAGGACAACAGTGTTTAGCTCACTATTTAGCTCAGAACACCCACGAAGGTGTTTACTAGCAGAAGTGAGGGTAATAACCAACTACCTAGCTTAGAACACCCACAAAGGTGTTTATTAGCAGAAGTAAGGGAAATAGCACTAGAACGGAGATAGTTCCTCTTGCTACATCAGACTTGGATTTTGACTATATACCCTGTCTTTGTTGCCTCTCTCCGCTTTTCAGACACTTGCTGTTTCTATCTATTCCTTCTCTATATGAGCATTTGGTTTAATATCCCTATAGATCCATATCTTACAATTTCAGCAGTTATATTTTCCGTATTGATTCGAAACATCTGGAGGGATTGCACTGTTTAGGGGATCTTTACCTGTAGCATTTCGATCAATGGATCTATTTATGCATTAAGATTAGAGATTATAGGTAACTATAGGAATCAGTGATTTTCACATTGTTGATACACAGTTGCTTCTGTATCTCTTTCTCTTTAATAGACTAATAAAGTCGTTACTTCTCTCAGTGGACTTAGAGATACTTTTTATGCACTGTATCAACCATATTCAGCTTTGCTCTACAATTGTTCCTATTCCCCATTTTTCCTGTCTGTTGGGCTCTAGATTTTAAGAGTTATTAGGTATAATATCAATGTGCACTTATAATTTATACCTTTACCAGCTTGCTTGGCATTTTCCTCTCTTCTTTTAAAGAGGAATATATCCGAGCATTTCGTGTGTATTTTCTATCTCTTATAAATAAAGGGTTCATGCCCATATCAGGTGGAGCTGGTACCACCTATTCTGACCAATTTTTTCCTAGTCATAGATTTAACATCTTGTGAATCTGGGACTGAGGAAAAATAACTTTTGCTTCTTATAATTGCTGTTTACGATGCCTGTTACTTGTGCCCAGTGAATAAATTAGAGTGCAGCCTGGGAATCCCTGCAACTCTGCTCTGACTCCCTCACAGAGCACCACAACTGCGAGGGCTGCAATTAAAATGGTAGACCACAGATGACCAGGAATCATTTGCAGGAGTGCAGAGCCATGCAGGGAGATCTTTTCATTGTCTGCTGGCTTGTGCAGGCTCCACTTGGAGCTTCAGGCCCAGACAGAGGCCCATAAGGTCCATGCCTTGGTCATCTAATGGGTAATCCAGCTCTGAGTTTAGTCATGCCACAAAGTGTGACATTGTTGGAAGGAGGGGCTGTATGGTGGGCTACCCCTCACCACCCAGTTTATATACTACTGTATCTACAACCGATTCCCCCCTCCTGAAATTAGGCTTATTGACCACTATATGAATTAAGAGTTATACATGTAATCTAAAGAAGTGACTCCTATTTTCGTTTCCCTATTGAAATGCTAGCAATACAGACATCCCAAGTCTCCGGTGGTTCCAGGAGACTCCCGCATGGTGAATGCTGCTCCCTGACACCTGCAAGCCATACACAATATCTGGGAAATCACACACACAATCTGATGTGTGTGTGTGTGATATCCATTGCATTGTGTATGATTTGTGCCCCCTAATGCCCTATATTACCCACTAATCAGGGGCCTGGCTGGGTGCTGGCCCTTTAAGAGCCACCTGAGCTCCTGTGGCAGGAAGGAAGTGACAGCAACTTCCTCCCTGCTTCAAATAGAGCTGCCCACCAGGGAGGACTGGAGGGAGGAGGCAGCAGCATGGAGGCAGGAGGTAGCTTAGAAGAACAGTGCAGCATAGTGGTACAGGAGTGGCATGCTCACTCACATCAGCCTCAGCCAGAACTCCAAACAGACCACTCTCCTGGACACAAAGGTAAGCTAACAGGAGGGTGGCTGCAAATACATAAAGTATGACCTGTGTGTGTGTCAGATTGTGTGTAGGCCAGTATGTGTATGTGTCAGTGCGTCAGTTTGTTTATCTGAGTGTGTGTAATGTGTTTATCTGAGTGTGTGTG